ACTATGCTAAGAAGGAAGATGATAATGCTGCAGTTTGTGATTGAATGTAGTTTTGTGAAGAAATGCAGTTTTTGTGATGATGAGTCTGCAGAAATGAAGTTGGTAAAACTATTGTTTGAATGTAGTTTTCTGAAGAAATGCAGTTGGTGAAGCTGCTAATTGAATGTAGTTTTGGGAAGAAATGCAGTTTTTGTGATGATGAGTCTGCAGAAATGCAGTTGGTGAAACTGTTGTTTGAATGTAGTTTTGTGAAGAAACGCAGTTGGTGAAGCTGTTGATTGAATGTAGTTTTGTGAAGAAATGCAATTTTGTGATGATGAGTCTACAGAAATGCGGTTGGTAAAACTGTTGTTTGAATGTAGTTTTGTGAAGAGATGCAGTTGGTGAAGCTGCCAATTGAATGTAGTTCTGTGAAAAAAATGTTGGAGTTTTTTGTGGTTGAATGCAGTTTGTGAAGAAATGAAGTTTGTGAAGCTGTTGATTGAATGTAGTTTTGTGAAGAAATGCAGTTTTGTGATAATGAGTCTGCAGAAATGCAGTTGGTAAAACTGTTGTTTGAATGTAGTTTTGTGAAGAAATACAGTTGGTGAAGCTGTTGATTGAATGTAGTTTTGTGAAAAAAAATTTGGAGTTTTTTGTGGTTGAATGCAGTTTGTGAGCTGTTTTTTTTTTTAGTCTGCAGATTTGTGAAGATCCTGTAATGAAACTGCAGCAGGTTGTGAAAAAAAAAAAAAAAATTGTTGGAGTTTTTTGTGGTTGAATGTAGTTTGTGAAGAAATGCAGTTTGTGAGTTTTTTTTTCAGTCTGCAGATTTGTGAAGATTCTGTCATGAGACTGCAGCAGTTTGTTAGAGTGTCATATTGTGTATAAAGGTCTAAGCACCAGAGTGTCATAGATGAGTATAGTTCAATTTCAGGGTGAATATTGTGTATAAAGGTCTAAGGGATCAGAGTGTCATATGCGAGTAGAATAGGGTCAGGAACAACTTTACCAATACGCTGCGTTTTACTGAAAATGCAGTATATATGTGCTTTGTACTGTAGCTTTCTTCTTAGCAAATCAGAAATACCCAGATTACTTGACTGAATCTGTTACTCTTTTAACCACTTTCTCTTCTTCTTTCTCAAAGATTTTGCTACGATTCTTTTCTCTTAGTCCAAGAAAACCCAAATGATAGACCGTCAATGCTTGAGGTTTTCACGGTGATAAAATGAATCGAAAGATATCAAGATTCCAAACAAGCCTGCTACTTACTGGAAACAGAAGATAAAAATGAATGAAAAGCAGAAATTGTGGAGAGAGCAGCTCAAATAATGTGTAACAATGTCAGATATTGTAGCTAGATGAGTTACTACAGACTTTCTGAGATGCATTTATCTATATGTTACATTTTGTATTATCATTAATTTTCTTATTTTATAAATATCATTATATTTTAGGATTTGGTTTTATTCATGCTTTACTTAGTATTACTTCATCATCGTTAAACTTTAAAGTAATCCTTACCCTTATTATTATGCAATCGCAGAATCAGGAAAAAAAGTTTGGAGGGCCTAAACATGTTTACGAATGAGGGAAATCAAACTGTAGAAGTTATTTATAAAAAAAAAAATTGCATAATGGAATAATATTGGTTAGAAAAAGGAGCTAAATGTTTAACGAATGAGGGAAATCAAACTGTAGAAGTTTATTTAATAAAAAAAAAATTGCATTTAATGGAATAAATTATTGAGTTTAGGAAATAAAGGGCCAAAGTAAAAATAATAAAAGTATGAAATAAATATTTTACATACAAAAACTTTTCTGAACCCAAATCGGCTAAAGGGGCAGTCTAACAATTTATTATATCAAATAATAATCATGTTAAGTCACCACCTACATAACCTTAAGGGGCGTTTGGTGGTGGGAATGTCAGTATTTGGGTAATGTCATCTGATTTACTTGATTACCACGTTTGTTGTCAAGTAATATAAGATTCCGGTAACTTTAAATACCATAGTAGTTACTATTGGTAATATTGGAGGTACTGATTACCTCATTTTCTTAGGTATTCTGAGATTACCAGAGTTATCTTTTTTGTTAATTTTATCCTTATTAATGAAAATTTTGGACAATAATGCCCTCATTTTAAATAAATTTACATTAATATCCTATTTCAATTTTACCCTTGTTTAACTAAAATTTTGGACAATAATTCCTTGTATTTAAAACAATTTTAGACGACTGCCACTCAGCCACCACGCACTACAGCGCCAAACCACCATGGACCGCCTGGAAAACGTTGGAGTCCTAAAAAAGAACGAGTTTCGGTGGGAGGCTCTAGGATCATCGATATGGCCATTTGGCCATATTGATGGCCGAAAACGGCTAGATCTGGCGAGATTGGCCGATAATGGCAGGGATCTGGCCATTAACAGCCAAATCCACCATCGCATTTCGGCCGATTGGCCTGATATGGCCGTTTTGGCCATAATTGGCCGAAACGGCCATATCGAAGCCTCTTAGTCACGGTGAGTTGCTGATGGGACTTTGGAGACTTCCGCGGTGGTCTGCGGTGGGCAGCGGCGGCAGGAGGTGGGGTGATTTGTAATAAATTAAAGTTTATATAAGCAGGGTGTGTTTAACTAAATCTGAAATATTGGGGGTTAAAGAAATAATTCAAAAATTATAATAAAAATAATATTATATTAATATTTGTAAAGGGGACAATTTGGTAATTTAAAACATATCACCCAATTTATTCCCCATAACCAACCATATTAATATAACCTACCCAACTAACCAAACACATTTTCTTAAAGATTCAGTAATCTAAGGTAATCCATCTTTCCAGTAATCCAACATTCCATAATCTAACATTCAACCAAACCACCCCCAAAAGCTTAGTTAGTCAAAGGGAATTAATTAATATTTAAGTCTAATAATTTTTTGACATAATTATGTTAGAAAATTCCAAATTGGCTAACATTAATTTTGATTTGATTTGATGAAATAGGTAAATGCATAGTCCAATGAGATATCCAAATGGGCTTGTATGATCATTCAGAATTTGTCTATACATTTCATTTATAAAAGAGTTGGCGACAAGTTGGGTTTAAGCTTGTAATGAGTTTTAAAGTTTATTAGATTTTAATGGGAGGCCAATAAATTGATATAAATTAGCTATGTCCTCTTTCCAAAATGGATTGTACACTGAACCCCATTTGGAAGTCTCATTCTGGAACATTCGGTAACGAAGACCAGTCACTACTTGAAAGGAATTCAAAAAATTCAGAAGCACGACAGAATCAGTTTTTTAATCTTAATTTTAAATTTAGTATTTTATATAATATGTAGATCTGGTATTAATTATTAGAATTGAGTGGAATTCATGTTAGAATCCTACAAATTAAACTTACAGATAACTTGTAGTAGATAAGGATTGGGTTGGTACAATATTTAAAAATGATAAAAAATATCGTATGATTCAAAAATAACGAAAATGAACTAAAGAAGCTAGCCAAAAGAAGCTGGAAATTCATCCAAGGAGCACTTCAATTATTGATGTAACAATTTAGGAATTGTAGCTAGATGAATTGAAGAGGCTTTTGGCACAATAATGTGCTCCTTGGAGAGTGGCTTTGAAATAAAGTAATAAAACTATGGACAGCTGGGTATGAATGACGTTATGTGAACATATTACTAAATTAAACAACTCATAAATTAAAAATTTTTAATCGTAACTTCATTTTCGGATCCATCAAGCTGAAGTTACTGAGTTAGGAATCGATTTGGTCCAAAACCCAACCGTGTCCAATATTTTACAACTGTACAACAAGCCATTGGCCGTTGCATCTATTGAAATATTGAATTCCGTATGCGAAATATGAGTTTCTAATAAACTCATCTCTTCTCTCCATGAATTAATATTTAAAATTGATTATGTTTACCGAGGTTGAAACCTAGCAATAGTTTATAATAAGGTAGACGTTCATGTTTACTTGATCAATTCTTATGTCGATGTTTCAAACTAAATTTCACATCATAAAATATTTATTTTATAAATCACCAATACATAGTCGTTACGTGGGGTCAAAAAAGAAAGGAATATGCATATATATTTCATGAGTCCATCCTAAGATAGGAGGAAATCTCCGGAACAATGGATCTGCATAATTTTGACTTATTTTCCCGTAACTTTTATTTATTCAAAGATTTATTTTAAATTTTTGTATACGTCGTTGACTGATGAGTTATTAAATTTTTGGACAGCAAGTTGCAGACACAGACATTTGAACATATTATTAAATTAGATAAGTTACTAAATTAATAAAGTTTTTGCTTCCCTATGGGATCAATTTAGGTCATCAGATACCAATTCGTCAGCAAAAATAAAGTAAAAAATAGCTCGACCTATTTAATTATGCCCCTTGTTTCTTTTATTCGTTTTCTGTTTCAATATGCTGATAAATACATTGATACATAAATACATTTATCATCTTCAATCTTCATCCCATTGATATAAATTCAAGAGAGAATGCTACAATTTTAAGCCTCTAGCTTTCCCAATGGTGTCCAATATTATCATTGTTTTTTTCCATATTTTTGCCTCCTTTCAAATATGCCCTTCAACGGCGCAAACTAATAACGTCAGGATTGGTTATTACTGGTGTTCAAGATATGAGTTTCCTGTTGCGGACATAAATTTTTCCCTCTTCACTCACATTATTTGTGCTTTTGCACGTGTAAATTCCACCTCCTACCAACTCTTTTTATCGCCCGATGAAGCAAAACTCTTCTTCAACTTGACAGAAACTGTGAAACAAAAGCACCCGTCGGTCACTACACTCTTATCCCTTGGAGGTTCAGAAGTAAATGCTTCAATCTTTTCTTCCATGGCAAGCAGTCCTTATTACCCAAAATATTTCATTGACTCCTCCATAGAAATAGCTAGGCTCTACGGTTTTCAAGGTCTCGACCTAGCGTGGCAATTTCCGAACAATAGCTCTGATATGTTCAACATGGGTGTTCTCCTTCAAGAGTGGAAATCCGCCATCGCTTTAGAAGCAAGAAACTCTAGCCAGCCAGAACTAATCTTGACAGCAAGGGTTGCTTATTCACCATTCATCTCTACAAGAAGTTACCCTCTAGAGGCAATACAACAATACTTAAACTGGGTTAATCTCGGAGCTGCTGGCCACTACAAGCCTTAGTTGGAGAACGTTACGGGCGCTTACGCAGCTCTTTATGACCCGAATAGTGATGTTTATGCGGATCAGGGTGTGAGGGAGTGGATGAATGGAGGATTATCGGCCAATAAGTTGGTTTTGGGTTTGCCTTTATTCGGCTATGCATGGAAGCTTGTGAACCCTGAAGACAATGGCATCGGTGCACCGGCAACAGGACCGGGGATTAAAAAAAGTGGATTTTTGAGCTATAAGGATATCAAGAATCACATTAAAGGATTTGGTCGTAAAATTGATGTCAAATACAACCCAATTTATGTGTTGAATTACTGCACAATCGAATCATCTTGGATTGGCTTTGATGATGTTGAGGCTATCAGAGCTAAGGTTTCTTATGCCAAGGAGAAGAAGCTACTGGGTTACTACCTGTGGCGAGTGGGGTGTGATGATAATTGGGTGCTTTCTCAAACAGCAGGTAATAATCTTGATTGTTTCACTCGATAGTACTAATTTTAATTAAGATCTTTATGCCATTTATAGTTAATATGATGATTATTGTTTCAGCTGAGGCGGATATAAACAACTCTTCCGATCAAGAGGATAGTAAGAGACCTTTGTTAGCCATTATTTTGTCTTCAACAGCAGCTGTTATTCTTCTACTAGGATTGTTTGTGATATATTATTGGCGGAGGAGAAAGCTCGAATCAAGAGGTAAATTTTTCTAGCTATATTATGGGGTTCTTCAATCAACTAAGGTGGATCTAAATGTTTATGATCTGAAAAATAAATTTCCGACACTGAATTATCTTAATATTTTTAGTATCTGGAAATTAGTTACCAATTTTGAAGTAAAAAACTAAAGAAAATAGAAAGAAAAAAAATGATTTGTTTTTTATCTTATGATATTACATGATGTTTAAAATTTGTTTTTAAAAACTATTTTTAAAAACATTTAACATCATATATTATCAAATGTGTTTTCTTAGATCTTTTTCTGTTCGTTAACAGAGATGCCAGACTGGGTAAAACGATCCAAGTATACAGTTAATAAAGCAGCCGTAGATTTTAGCAGCAGTGTTCCTAATCTGGTGGAGTACACAATGAATGATATTGAGGCAGCTACAAATAGATTTTCAATCGAAAATAAGCTTGGGCAGGGTGGATATGGTCCTGTTTACAAGGTAGTATATATATATATATTCAATTTCCATGCTGTAGAATTTGGCTCCGACTATTTTGGCTTGAGGAAGAAAAATAATTAACTACAAATTAGTTTTTCTACCAACCATACATGGGTGTATTTTGCTAGGGTGTACTATCGGATGGACAGGAAATTGCAGTGAAGAAACTTTCAAAAACATCCAAACAAGGATATGAGGAATTCAGGAATGAAGTTATGCTTACTGCAAAGCTCCAACATATAAATCTTGTTAGAGTTTTGGGTTATTGCATTGACAGGGAAGAACACATGCTAGTCTATGAATACATGAAAAACAAAAGCTTAGACTATTTCCTATTTGGTATGAATTTTCTTGGTGCGGTTTTTTTGGATTTAATATTTCCTCCTATATGAGTGGTACTCCAGATGGTAAATATAGCATTGATTATTACTTCATAAATAAATTTGATGCAGACCCCAATAGACATTATGCTTTCGATTGGAAAAAGCGTGTGCAAATTATTGAAGGGGTTACTCAAGGGCTTCTATATCTCCAAGAATTCTCAAGATTCACCATTATTCATCGAGATTTGAAAGCTAGTAATGTTTTGTTGGACGGAAATATGAAACCTAAAATATCAGATTTTGGTATGGCTAGAATTTTTGTAAAAGAAGATGTTGAAGCAAACACAGAAATGATTGTCGGAACGAGGTAAGTATATTTTAATATTTTCTTTCAATACTATTACATACTCAATTTAATAAGGTTTAGTAATTGTTTATAATTTCTAACACAGGGGCTATGTTCCTCCTGAGTTCTTGAGAAGGGGTATATACTCTACAAAGTCTGATGTTTATAGTTTTGGTGTCTTACTTCTTGAAATCATGAGTGCAAAAAGAGTTAATGGGCGCTTAAATTTCCTAGATTATGTAAGTTTCTCTTGTAACCCTTAGTATTTGGTATCTGTAGTCATCTCTAATGTGAACGTGTTGAAGTTTTTAAATTATGGATTAAAGGCCAATTGCTAGTCGTTGGCCTCTTAATAAGAAATAGTCCAAAGTTAGTGACTAATCACTAACAAGATAAGGTATCAAAAGTACTTATATTTTATCATCTTCAGGCATATGAGTTGTGGAAAGATGGCAAAGGGATGGAGTTTATGGATCCATTGCTAGATGATGCAACTTCCTCTTGTAAACTCAAAAGATGCTTACAAATAGCTTTACTATGTGTCCAAGAAAACCCAAATGATAGACCGTCCATGCTTGAGGTTTCCACGATGCTAAAAAATGAGTCAAAAGATATCGGGATTCCAAATTGGAAACAAAAAGATGGAAATGAACAAAATGAAGATAAACAAAAGGCAGAAATTTGTGGAGAGAGCAGCTCAATTAATGATGTGACAATGTCAGATATTGTAGCTAGATGAGTTACTATAGACTTTATGAGATGCATTTATCTATATGTTACCTTTTTCGGATTTATCTTTAATTTTCTTATATTTTATAAAATATCATTAATATTTTAGGATTTGGTTTTATATTATACTTTTTCTTAGTATTACTTTCATCATAGTTTAAAGTTTATCCTTACCCTTATTATTATGCAATTGCAGAATCGGGAAAAAAAGTTTGAAGGGGCTAAACATGTTTAACGAATGAGGGAAATCAAAGTATAGAAGTTTATTTAGAAAAAAAAGAAAAAAAAATTGCATTTAATGGGAATAAATGATTGAGTTTAGGAATTAAAGGCCAAAGTTAGAAATAATTAAAAAAATATGAAATAAATATTTTTACATACAAAAACTTTTGTAAGCCCAACCCCGGCTAAAAGCTTAAAGGGGCAGTCTGACACTTTTATTATATCCAAATAATAACTCACGTTAAGTTACCACTTGACATAACCTTAAAAGCTTAAGTTAGTCAACTAGGAATATTAATTAATACTTAAGTCTAATGTTAGAAAATCCACAATTGTGGACTAACATTAATTATGATTTGGTTTGATAAAACTGGATAAATATATAGTCCAATGAGATATCATAATTGGCTTGTATGATCATTCCAGAATTTATCTAATACACTTTATTTTATATAATTTAGGTTGATGACAAGTGTGGGCTTGAGCGTTTAATAAGCTTTAAAGTTGATTGGACCTTTAATGGGCCCAATAATTGATATATATTGGGTAGATTATCTTTCCAAAATGCGATTATACAATGAACCCTATTTTGAAGTCGAAATTCTGGAGCAAATTCAAGAAATTTAGAAACCATAATAGAATCAGGTTTTTCTAATATTTAATCTTTAAATTTAGTATTCTATAATCAATATGTAGATCTTGGGATTAGTTGTTAGAATCATGGTTATCAAATCGTGTATCGTATCGTGTATCGAAAACCTAATTTTTTGAATCGTGTATCACGTATCGTATCGTATCGTATCGTAAGATACGTCTTTTTCAAAAAAATTAATAAAATAATCAAAATTTTCTAAAAATTAATATAATCCCCAAGATTAATTAGAGAATTTTATGGGATTATTGACTTTAAATTACGGTATTACATAATCAAAATTAATTACAAAATTCCAAGATCAATGTATATAATTATTATCATGTAAAATGGGCAATACATATTCCTCTTCACTTTCTCCATGCAAAATAGGTAAATTTGGACAGGTTTTAGGGAATCGGGTTGGGTGACCTGGTTTCGAACCGAAATTGTTTTTGGACCTTTAGCCCAAATTAATAAAGTCGTATCGATTTATATCGATATTTTTAAGGATACGAACGGATACGTATCGTATCGTAGGATACAGATCAACGTATCGAATGGTTTAGGATACACTCTCTGATACGTATCGTTGGCGACCTGTATTGAATCGTATCGTATGATACGTATCGGGTATCGTAGGATACTAACAACCATGGTTAGAATTGAGTGAAATTCATGTTGGAATTCCTACAAATTAAACCTACAAATAACTTATATTAGAGGTTGGTACAATACTTAAAAATGAAAAAAAAAAAATCGTATGATTCAAAAATAACGAAAATGAACGAAATGAAGCTAGCCATAAAGAAGCTNACTGAATTCCACCTACGTCCATCATCAGCTGCCACCTGTCCCAACTAATATTCCTTCAAACCAACTTAAAACAAATCCTAACTTCCACCCTAACAAATATTTGGCTATATTCCTCTACTTCTTATTCCTATTCTTCCTGTGGTACATTATCTTTATTGGTTGCTCATCAGATTTCTACATCTTTGGTGTGGAGACTCTTGGGTTTTGGTTTTGGTTCTGGTTCTCATCTATATGCCTAATCATCTAAGCTTCAAAGAAGCCACCATTCTTGCTTCCTGGTAATTCCAATTTTCTGCACAATCGTGGAGGTAGTATCTATTAGACTAGGAACAACGCATTCAAATCATTTGAAGGGATTACTCAAAAGATTTTATATCGTCAAGAATATTCGAATTTTAGGATAGTTCACAAAGACTAGAAGGCTAGCAACATTTTATTGGACAAAGACCTAAATCCTAAGATATTGGATTTTGGCATGGCAATAGCTTTTACAACAGATGCATGTGAAGCAAAAGTCGGCCGCATTATTGGAACATAGTAAGTAATTAACTTGTCTGTCAAGGTTTTAATTAAACACGGCGTTTTATATGTTTCATTTGTTGAATTATTGACAATTTTCGATGTTTACATTGAATTGCAGTGGCTATATTCCCCCTGAGTATGTAAGAAAAGGCATATACTCCATGAATTATGATGTTTATAGCTAAGGAGTTCTGCTTCTGCAAATCATCAGTGGCAAGAAGACTGCATGCTATTATGGCTCCTGCAAATATTTGACCCTTTTAGAATATGTAAGTTACCAGTCATTCTTTCCTGTAGACGTCCTGATTTTTTAAAATTTTTTGTGATTTACTATAGCAAGAAGCTTTGCCAAAGTTGGGTAACATTTAAGTTACTTCAGGGGTATGAATTGTGGAAAGATGTTGAAGTCATGGAGTTTTTATTGCTTATCACTAGACGATTTGTCTTCTCCATGGAAACTAAAGAAATGCTTGCAAGTAGCTCTACTATGTATCCAGGAAAATCCTGCAGATAGACCAACCATTTTGGATGTTTATACGATGCTCAAAAGCGAAACTGCAGCCATCTCAACTTTTAAAAGGCCTGCATTTTCAGTTAAAAGAGATGAAGATGAGGAAAGTAAATGTGCATTGAAGGTGAAAATTTGCTCAGTCAATGAGGTAAACAATCACCAAACTGGTAGCCAGAAGACAATATAGCCTCTCATGGTGCATAATTAGAGAAGATATTGACATATTCGTGCTCAGTCACCGATCAAGTAGGCCTAATCTGTCCTAGAATACGATGGAAGCTGCCCTTGGAAAGTTGTAGATAATCACAAAATTTGCTTGAAAATGTAATGAGTGTTCTTACATTCAAGTGTTTATAGAAAATATTTTGTTTCTGGAATTCAGCCTATGCTCAATTTTCTGTAGTGCCACTAGCTGAGAAGCCAATTCTATTCATAAGCCCTTTGTGAAATGTGACGCTGTATTACATAAAAAGTTTTCTCGGTTCTGTAGGCTTCGTTTGGTTGGATTTTGAGAATACTACTTTTAGTATTCCCAAAAAAGTTAAACAGTAAAATACCCAAAAACTCACAATATTATTCAACTTTATTCAACATTTTTAAACCCCCTAAATTTGTTAATTCAATTAAATACCCCTAAATATTTTTAATGTTTTTGTTACGGCGACTCCGGCCACCCTCCGGCGGTGGTGGTCGGTTGTCTGTATTTGAGGATGGATTGGGGGTGTTTTTGTTAACTTTTAATGTTTTATTATAAGGGGTGTTTTGTAAAAAAATAAACATAGGGGGTATTTTAAATTTATAAATCTTACATCGTAATACCTGTCCAATTCAATTTTTTTTTAACTTTTTTCAAAAAACTTTTCTCAAAAACACAAAATTGTGAACCAAACGAAGCCGTAAAGTTTGGCCCATGAAAACATAGCCTTCTTTCAATTTATTTAAAGAAAGAAAATCCCTTTTGGGGAAACATATAGTGTTTTACCCTTGACCCACAATAGCAAAAGCAGCCTTGGTGCCTTTACGATTACGCAACTTCAACTTGAAAAAGAAACAAGAAAAACCTGGTTCAAGTTTTGACACGTTTCTGAGTTCAAAAGCTCATATTAACTGAAGACTGCAACCTGGCAGCCACAATCAATCAATTGATGATACGTTGATTAATTTCTATAGCTGTAAAATGATATTTTAATGAAATTTTTATATTTTTAATGGGGTTTTTAACATTTTCAGATGAATTTAATATTAAATGATCTCACGGGACAATTTCTCCTTTTACTCTCTTTCTCAATAATTCATGAAAAATTTAACAAGTCTGGCATGTCTTGACAAGCAACAGAAGCCAAATGACTTGAACCTGTCTCATCATATTTTCTAATTGTTTTATACATGGCTAAAAAATTCTAGTCCTAGGGAAGTATCAAGCAGCTTGTGTTTATGGCAAAAAAAAAATATGATCATCTTCCTCTTCATTTTTATTATTTCTTTCCAGTTGAAGTTTTCTATTTCACAAAGTTGGATCAAAGCTGGTTACTGGTATGTTGGTAGTGAATTTCCCATATCAGAAATAAATTCTGCCTTGTTTACTCACCTTATATGTGCTTTTGCCAATGTAGACTCTTCCACCGACCAGCTCTCCATCCCATTTGCCAATGAACAATACTTCTTGAGCTTTAGTGGTACCATCAGAGGCAAAAGTCTATCAGTTACAACTCTTCTGTCAGTCTGGAATGGACAGAATGCAACAGGTCAATCCATATTGGGCAACAAAGTGAACTATTCAGTTCTATCTTCAATGTTTAGTGATTCTTCTCATAGGAAGTCTTTTATTGAATCTTCAATGAAAACCGCCAGGCGTTATGGATTTCAAGGGATTGATTTGTTCTGGCTGTGGCCTAATGGTATAGACTTGAATAATATGGGAAGGCTTTTAGATGAGTGGAGAGCTGCAATTACTTCTGATGCGAGAAACTCTAGTGAGCCAGAACTAATACTGACAGCGGCTGTTCGGTACATTCCAAATCATGAAACTGTGAGTTATCCGATTGAATCGATGAAAAGGAACTTGGACTGGGCACATGTGGTTGCATATGACTATTTTCTGCCGTCCATGGATAACGTTACGGGCACCCATGCGGCTTTATACAACCCTGCAAGTAATATTAGTACTGATTTCGGTATAAACAACTGGTTAAGCAGAGGATTTCCAGCTAACAAACTGGTTCTGGGTGTGCCTTACCATGGCTATGCATGGACGCTAGCGAACCCAAATGACAAAGCTATCGGTGCACTTGCTTTTGGGCCTGCTATCACCATTGATGGTTCCATGGGGTACAAGTTAATCAGGGCATTTATTCAGAATTACGATTACGGAGCTGCTTCCGCATACAATGCTACTTATGCAGTGAATGTATTCACTAGTGGAGCAACTTGGATCAATTTTGATGGAGTTGAAACGATTCGAGCAAAAATTGCTTATGCCAAGGAGAAGAAACTCCTTGGTTACAATGCATTTCAGCTGTCTAATGATGATAATTGGGCACTTTCTTTGGCAGGTGAGTGATTGTTCATATCAATTCTTGAATTTTGAAGACAGATTTTAATTGATTTAGTGAATTACATTTACAGCTTCTGCAGAAAAGGAGAATCAGGAAAATAGGAGGCGATTACTGCTGACGATTTTGCTTCCAATTACTTTAGTTTTTATCCCAACAGCCTGCATGATTTGTTACTTTCAAAGAAAAGTAATCAAGATAAAAGGTATTCAACAGATTTCAGTTTTCATAATATGAAAGGAGAATCATATTGATTTTTGTTCCTCTTTTCCATTCCAGGATCGATGCTTCGAAGCAGAAGAAGGATAACTATTCCCCAAAACCTTGAAAGCAATGCTCCAAAGCTGAAAACTATGCTCCAAATCTGCAAGTTTTCAGCTTTGCTAGCATCAAAGAGGTTACAAACAACTTTTCTAATGCAAACAAGCTAGGTGAGGGTGGATTTCGCCCCGTATATAAGGTAAATATGCGCGATATTGTTAAGAGAAAAAAAGAATCATACACCTGTTAGGGGAACATAATAATCCTATCCTTCAAATTTAGTTTTTTATTAAAAAGAAACTATAATTATGTTAAAAAAGTGATGCTAATGAAGCAGTTGGTGATGCTAATGAAGAAACATATTTTCAAGAGTTACAAAAAAATTAGCTTATTTAGTTAAATAAAACAATGAATGTATTTTACTAGGGTATCCTCGTAGATGGTCAGGAAATAGCAGTGAAAAAACTTTCTAAAACTTCGAATCAAGGGTTTGAGGAATTCAAGACTGAGGTTATGCTTACTGCAGAGCTCCAACATGTAAATCTTGTCAAAGTTTTGGGTTTTTGCATTGATAAAGATGAACACATATTGATCTATGAGTACATGCTGAACAAAAGCTTGGACTACCACCTTTTTGGTACAATAGTTTCTCTCCAACTAACTTTTTTTTTTTTTTCAATTTTTGCAGCTTCGAAAATATATATATTGATTAGAATATTACTAATTTGTCATTAATAAATAAATGCAGACCCTTGTGCACGAATTCTTTTGGATTGGACAAAACGTGTTCAAATCATAGAGGGGATTATCCAAGGACTTGTGTATCTCCAAGAATATTCGAGATTGACTATTATTCATCGAGACCTGAAACTAAGTAATGTATTATTGGATGAAAATATGAAGCCTAAAATATTAGATTTTGGTATAGCCAAAATTTTTGTGGAAAATGATCATCAAACAGAACGAATTGTTGGAACATAGTAAATACACGTAAATCTTCTTTTATTCTATATTGCTTTGTAAGCTTGCACTTGTTAAGACACATGCTTAACACACTATCTCTGATAATTCAATGCAGTGGTTATATCCCTCCTGAATATGTTAAAAGAGGCATATATTCAACTAAACTTGATGTCTATAGTTTTGGGGTTCTACTTCTACAAATCATAAGTGGAAAAAAGGTTTCATCGTTATATGGCTCACATGAAGACTTGAGCCTTCTAAAGCATGTAAGTTTGCCATTAATATTACTAATTAGTATTGGAAATATTTAATTCGATATATATATTTTCATATAAAATTTCAGGCATATGAGTCATGGAAAGATGACAAAGGCATGGAGTTTGTGGATCCATCATTAGATGATACACAATCCTCTTGTAAATTAATGAGATGCTTGGAAATAGCTCTACTATGTGTCCAAGAAAACCAAAATGATAGGCTGTCCATGTTAGAAATTTCCTCGATGCTCAAAACTGGATCCACAAATACAGTAATCAGCCCTAAGAAGCCTGCTTTCTCAGAACAAAGTGATGAAAAGAAAATGACTAAAAGTTCAGAATTAATTTCGGTTGATGATGCAACAATTTCTGAAGTGGTAGCAAGATGACTCTAGGCTTTTGCAAGACCAATATTTGGTGGTCCTTGGAGATCGGGTAGGAAGCTGCTTAATTTGACCATTATAATTTTCTGCAATGTTATTGAACCTATTGCCATTAAACATGGATGCCAACTATGAAAGCGATTAATTGGTTGTAGTTTCATCTTGTATTATATGGATAATTCGAAGAAAAGGCCAATACGATGACATTGACTTGATGCATGTCATTTTATTGGTTTACTTTAAGCTAATTTTTTTAAGACATTGAGATGTTTAGCTCAGAACAAAAAAGCAACAACAAAGAGCCGTCTAAGAAAAAATAATGAGTGACATATATTCCAGCTCAACATATTACATATTACATACGTAATTATTTGTCCTCCAAGAAAATAACAGGAAATGTCGATTGGACTTTAGCAATCTATTAAGTTTATATTGACTTACCAATGAATACAAGTTTTTTTTCTCTTCTTGGTTACAATAATGTAGGGTCATAGTTTGGCATAAATTAGACTTCAGCCATTTATTAAGTACAAGGTGCTCAAGGTGTTCACCAGTGCTTACCAATGAATGCGGACATTATTTGATTATATTTTGCGATGTATTTGTGTTAGTGGTTCCATGCTGCTAATTAGCAACCTCTAGATGTATTTGTTGAAAATCGGAGGAGTAAAAAATAAAATAAAGAACAGCAAATAACAACACACAAAGGCACATGATATTTTACGTGGTTTGGCATAACTTGTCTACATTCACAAATGAAAAAGATTCACTATACTTATATGAATACGATACAAACATTTATCACAACATCAATCTAGTAACTTTACATAAGCGGACAACTCCGAATGCGTCTGCGTGACTGACAACTCCAACAAAGCCAACCAGTATTCTTAGTGGCCATTATTGTATAAGAACTTGGATTGAAGGAGGAGTGTCTGCAAATAAGTTGGTTTTGTGGTTGCCTTACTACGGCTACGCCTGGACGCTGTTAAACCCAAAGATTAACGATATTGGCGCAGTAGCTATCGGACCAGCCATTACAGCAGATGGACTTTTGCGGTACTATCACATCAAGAATAGCAGAAAGGGGAATAAAGACGTTCAAGTTAATTGGGAAAATTTGGATTAGTTTTGATGATGTAAAGGTGGTGAAACTAAATTTTCTTATGCCAAGGAGAAGGGGTTGCGTGGTTACTATGTGTGGGAAGTACCTTATGATGATGATTGGGTTCTTTCCGAGGCTGCAAGTAGGCAATAATAATTCAATAGTTATTGTCATCTTGCTGATCATTTCCGTTATTATTCTAATAATGTCTGTCCATAAGCAGCAAATATACCACATAAAATGTACAAAATTTTTGTTACATTCCACACTGTCGACAAATGATTTTGAGATTTAAGTTTATAACAATCAAACACACAATAAAAGAAAACAGAAAAATAAATAGGACATTTAATTTATCCTGATTCATTCCGTTTAAGGAATTACGTCTAATATTCAAATAGAGAATTTTGATTTAAGTTTATAATGAATAATGATGACAACTCACTCTCACTCTCTATTTTTTATTACCTTAGGTTTCTCACTATTACATAATATATATAATAGAAAACTCTACTCCATTTGGGTTTACCCAAATCTAACTCAACACAAGCCTAAATATTAGTAAACTAATAACAAGTCGCTGACAATTGTAAAATGTAAAGGAAGAGTTGTAAAGTTAAAAGACGATGTCGTTTGAGCGAAGTTAGTTAAAGTCAGTCCCTTAGCTAAACATAAATTGCTACCTTGAATCTTAACGTAACATGCAAAAAAAAAATTCGCCAGCTGTCAGAAATGATATTTTAATGAAATTTTATATTTTTAATGGGGTTTTTAACATTTTCAGATGAATTTAATATTAAATGATCTCACGGGACAATTTCTCCTTTTACTCTCTTTCTCAATAATTCATGAAAAATTAACAAGTCTGGCATGTCTTGACAAGCAACAGAAGCCAAAAGACTTGAACCTGTCTATCATATTTTCTAATTGTTTTATACATGGCTAAAAATTTAGTCCTAGGAAGTATCAAGCAGCTTGTGTTATGGCAAAAAAAAAATATGATCATCTTCCTCTTCATTTTTTTATTTTCTTTCCAGTTGAAGTTTTCTATTTCCAAAAGTTGGATCAAAGCTGGTTACTGGTATGTGGTAGTGAATTTCCCATATCAGAAATAAATTCTGCCTTGTTTACTCACTTATATGTGCTTTTGCCAATGTAGACTCTTCCACCACCAGCTCTCCATCCCATTTGCCAATGAACAATACTTCTGAGCTTTAGTGGTACATCAGAGGCAAAAGTCATCAGTTACAACTCTTCTGTCAGTCTGAATGGACTGAAGCGAACAGGTCAACATATTGGGCAACAAAGTGAACTATTCAGTTCTATCTCATGTTAGTGATTCTTCATAGGAAGTCTTTATTGAATCTCAATGAAAACCGCCAGCGTTATGGATTTCAAGGGATTGATTTGTTCTGGCTGTGGCCTAATGGTAAGACTTGAATATGGGAAGGCTTTTAGATGAGTGGAGAGCTGCAATTCTTCTGATGCGAAAACTCTAGTGAGCCAGAACTAATACTGACAGCGGCGTTCGGTACATTCCAATCATGAAACTTGAGTTATCCGATTGCGATGAAAAGGAACTTGGACTGGGCACATGTGGTTGCATATGACTATTTTCTGCCGTCCAGGATAAAGTTACGGGCACCATGCGCTTTATACAACCCTGCAAAAATTAGTACTGATTTCGGTATAAACAACTGGTTAAGCAGAGGATTTCCAGCTAACAAACTGGTTCTGGGTGTGCTACCATGGCTATGCATGGACGCTAGCGAACCCAAATGACAAAGCTATCGGCGCACTGCTTTTGGGCCTGCTATCACCATTGATGGTCCATGGGTACAAGTTAATCAGGGCATTTATCAGAATTTCGTACGGAGCTGCTTCCGCATACAATGCTACTTATGCAGTGAATGTATTCATAGTGGAGCAACTTGGATCAATTTTGATGGAGTTGAAACGATTCGAGCAAAAATTGCTTATGCCAAGGAGAAGAAACTCCTTGGTTACAATGCATTTAGCTGTCTAATGATGATAATTGGGCACTTCTTTTGGAGAGTGAGTGATGTGTCATATCAATTCTTGAATTTTGAAGACAGATTTTAATTGATTTAGTGAATTACATTTACAGCTTCTGCAGAAAAAGAGAATCAGGAAAATAGGAGGCGATTACTGCTGACGATTTTGCTTCCAATTACTTTAGTTTTATTACTCAACCCTGCATGATTTGTACTTTCAAAGAAAAATAATCAAGATAAAAGGTATTCAACAGATTTCAGTTTTCATAATATGAAAGGAGAAATATTGATTTTTGTTCTTTTCCATTCCAGGATCGATGCTTCGAAGCAGAAGAAGGATAACTATTCCCAAAACCTTGAAAGCAATGCTCAACTGAATCTGCCAAATCTGCAAGTTTTCAGCTTTGCAGCATCAAAGAGGTACAAACAACTTTTCTAATGCAAACAAGCTAGTGAGGGTGGATTTGGCCCCGTATATAAGGTAAATATGCGCGATATTGTTAAGAGAAAAAAAGAATCATACACCTGTTAGGGGAACATAATAATCCTATCCTTCAAATTTAGTTTTTTATTAAAAGAAACTATAATTTAGTTAAAAAAAGTGATGCTAATGAAGCAGTTGGTGATGCTAATGAAGAAACATATTTTAAGAGTTACAAAAAATTAGCTTATTTAGTTAAATAAAACAATGAATGTATTTTACTAGGGTATCCTCGTAGATGGTCAGGAAATAGCAGTGAAAAAACTTTCTAAAACTTGAATCAAGGGTTTGAGGAATTCAAGACTGAGGTTATGCTTACTGCAGAGCTCAACATGTAAATCTTGTCAAAGTTTTGGGTTTTTGCATTGATAAAGATGAACACATATTGATCTATGAGTACATGCGAACAAAAGCTTGGATACCACCTTTTTGGTACAATATTTCTCTCCAACTAACTTTTTTTTTTTTTCAATTTTTGCAGCTTGAAAATATATATATTGATTAGAATATTACTAATTGTCATAATAATAAATGCAGACCCTTGTGACGAATTCTTTTGGATGGACAAAACGTTTCTGAATTTGTAGCAGTGAAAGTTGACAAAGAAGATGACTTCTTCTCTATAAATTCGATACCAATAAACTTGCTTTATGCAAGTTTCCTTCATGGCATGTAAATTTGTTATAAGTATTGTCCTCCATATTCCCTCTCTTCAACAATATAATATTGCAACCTGCATAATCATAAGCTTGGATCAAAGCCGGTTACTGGTATATATTAAGGTACCAGTTTCGTCACTTCAGAGATTAATTCTGCTCTCTTTACTCTGCTTCTTTGTGCTTTTGCCGATCTAAATTCTACCTCCTACAAGCTCTCTATTCCACACCTTCAGATGAAAAAAAAATTATCCATGTTAACGTGCAGATATCTTCGTTCAAAGTGTCCTGTTTTTTATGTTTTTGTCTACATTAAACATGTACTTAGAGCTGGGTTATTGTCTTTGGTGAAAAGTGGGTAACACATTGGATGCATTTTATTTACAAGAAAAGCTATGTGTTCACTCTGTAAAGGTCTGAAACTGTGAGAAAAAAGAAAACAGAGTAAAAGCAGCCTGTTTTATGTTAATGAATCAACACTTTTGGAATGGTAGCAACAGCAATTTGAACAGAGAAGAGTGCTGAAAGAACCATTAATATTTAACTCTTGCTGCAACTTTTCTACGGCTCACTCAGTTATTTGTTAGCTTTCCTTTGACTGTGTTTATTAATTTGAACAGAGAGAGTGCTGAAAGAATTACGTAATATGAATTTATTCATCCTTAATTTATAGATTAAAAATGAAAGATCGATGGAGGGTAAGCCTCCTGCTAGGTAGGATATATAATGATTTTTTATCTCTTATATTCTCGTAATTTTTTTGTCGTAACATATTGTTGCCGATGTGAATTATATGCATCAGCAACATTATAAATCACTACCGGCCCCTTTATTCATATATATCTACTTGGAAGTGTGCATTTATATACATTAGAAAATCTTTACATATAGGGTGCGTTTGTTTTCGGGAATATTTTATTACTAAAAAAATAAGATTATCAATAAGATAAATTATA